TGTTTGAATGAAATATTCAAATATTAATGATATAGGAAAATACTGTACAGGTGAATGGAAGTGCCGTTCAAAGAGGTTGAGTAACAACAACAGGTTATCATATCTGAAAAACAAAAAAAAAAATAAAGACTGCTGATAGTCGATATTCTGGAAAGTATCTGATTTTGGAGGAAACGATGCATTTGCTGATTACAGGTAAAGAATGTCAATGGATAAGTATAAAAGAAAAAAGAAATTGACAAATCCGGAAATTCGTGTAAGCTTTTATACTTCTAATTCGATTTGTTAAAAACTTACCGGTTAATTAGCCATATTGTTACTTATTGGGATGAAAAACTGAAGAGTAGTTGAATAGGAAATTTCTGAAATAAATTAGCGCCATGTATGGATAGTGACTTTTTTTTGCTTGAAGAAAATCAGGCCTTTTTTCTATTTCAAAATCTTTCCACTGTAAAATTTAAAAACTACATATTGAAGTGTTTTAAAAAGTGTAAAACTTACGAAGGTTGCTGAAGTGGTGCATTTTGATCTCTTGACAAATTAGAATGCTGGATCATTGAAGTAGCAAGTTTTATTTCATCAAGTGCTGAAATATATTTATATGGGAATGAAAAAAAAGTACAGATAATTATTGCAAATTGCAGAAGATAGAGGATAAGGTAATTTCGAAAGCAAATTTAATTTTCGAATTAAATTTTAAGGTTGAAACTAAACTGTTAATCATTTAAATTTAATTTAGAAACGAATTATTAAGAAAGAAATTTTTAACCTTGGTTACTTTGACGAGTTTCTCGATTACCCAATATTGAATCGATATTAAATACTGAAGATCTCAGAGTATTCGCCGGATGAATAAAATTGCTGTTGATATTATTATAAGCCGGATAATTTATATTTCCATTATTAATTGCTGGACCATATGATTGTTGGAGAAAACCCATTGGTGATAAGGGATAAGCAACAGGTAGGTAATTAAAGTTATTTTGTTGTATGGGAATCTGTGATGAAGTTTGAAGGATGTTTCGGTTGTTCAGAAGGATCATATTTGGATCAAATGGTAAAAATTCTTGTGAGCGAATTGGTAATGGCATGAATTGGGTAAGTCTCGACTGTTGAACAGCTGATTGCAAATCATTGAAAGGTAAGAAAGTCTGAGAAGCAAGAACTGATGTTAAATCAGCAGCTTTCTGGAAAAAAAGTTTAGTTCCAAAAAATTTCTAAAAAAAACCTCAATTAAGCTTGAGAATCAAACAATGGATGCAAAATTATTCGAATGATTCTAACAATGCGTTTTCTTTTTCACGATACAGTATTCTAAGAGATCAAAACTGCATAACTCAATTACATCATCTCTTATTCAATTTCAAAGGGCAAAGTTCAACAGAGGCTGCGAAACAAAGTGCTAAATATGACATAATGCTGCTGTTCTCTTAGTTGAAAAACATAATAATGCGAAAAGATTAATAATATATAAAACATTACAAAAATATGTAAGGAAAGATATAAACAAATTATTAAAATATAGAAAGAAAGATTAAAGAAAAAATAAAATTTGAGTTCAATATGAGCTCAATATGAATCAGAATTTAAGACTGTAAAATAACATTTTAAGCTACTACCTGTGGTTGAGGTCGTATAATTGGCATGGAAGCATAGTTCTGTGATGATGGAATGATGGAATGATTTGTTACAGTAACTGGAACATTTTCCTTCTCGACATCTGAATTGTCCTGAATCGGAAGATTTGTTCCTTCAATTCGGGATTGCTTCTCTACCGGCTCACCAACGCTACTGGACGATTCAGCAGTTCCTTGCTTTCGCTTATTTCTAAGCAAAAATATTTTTATTATTGTGGACAGTTTTGTATAGCTGTTTTCGTAGATCAATAAGCTATTATAATTTGAAAATATTGAATTATATTTTATTCTACTTTAATTACTTTTATTTTATTCTGCTTTAGTTAATTTTATTTAAAAATAACAAATGTAGCTGATAGAAAATAGTTTAAAAACAATTTAAAAGAAAGCAGCTAATTACTTCTTGAGGAAAAAAGTTTCCAAATTTTCTTCTTCCACCTCATATGCTTTCTTCTCTTCTGAATTTTTCAATTTTGCAGACAATTTATTGAAGCGAATGTGATGGAAGAAGTCGAATTTACCATTTTCTGAAAAATATTTTAGAAATATTTCTTTTATACGATAAAAATTATTAATTCGCTGGAAGAAATTGTATGAATTAAGAAATTTTAATAATATTTTTACCAGTAATCTTGGGACCACAGTAGACGAAGAGTGGAATTTTCTTTGTTCCAAAGGTAAACATTCTACGTTCGATCAGTCCTAGTGAAATTAGCACATTCGCAACATCGTAAATCCGGCGGCATCGACCTAACATTTGAATTAAAATTTAATTAATAATAAATTGAACAAATTCAATGAATTTTTGTAAATTTATATTAAATTTTCGCCTGAAGTTTGTTGTAAAAAAAATTAACCTTTGATTATGATTCTCTAAGGCTGTTTCAATTTTTTTATCATACGATTACTAAAGAGAAATTCCAAGGAAAGTAAATTTTTTAATAAAAACTTACTGCGATCTGGTGGTTTGCAACCGTCAATTTCGGGATCCTTAATCAGTATGGTACTTGCAACGTCCAAACTCACTTTGTAGTCAGGTTCATAATCCTATAAGCGCTCAATTAT